AGCGCAGAGCTAAAATAACCACCTGACGTACTTTCCACAGCCGAGCAGGCGACGGGGGAGCTCGCAAACTGTCGAGGTCCAGGTGGGCCTCTAGTCGTCGCTGACTGTGCAACCTTGTGCTGGTGCGAGGCCAGACCAAGCTGATCGAATAGCTCGGCTGCAAACTGCAGGCCCTGGCGAGTCACCGGAACCCGCCAATTGCGACGCTCCCTAGAACGCCCCCAAATCGGGCGACGGCCCGTCGCGAGGTTCCTGGATCCGCCCCCTGAAAAACGGAACGCGCCACGTCGACCCTGATCCCGAAACAACAAAAAAACGCCATATCCGGATCCAGAGGCGCACTTCGAGCGCCGTTCTCCCGCTCTCTACCTCAAGATATCCGCCCTCGGGCGCCTGGCCCACGACGCCCGGCCCCCCCGCGCTGGCCCGACCCAGAGTAAACGGAGTAGCTGGCGCGCCCTTCGGGCAAATGGAAGCGATCGGGGTTATCTCTGACATCGGCGAGGCCCAAGAAGAGGCGGGCGGCTCTCAGGTGCACGGGGGATTGGTCACTAGACCCAGGAGGGGGGGGGCGGGGCCCCTCTTTCCTGGCCAGGCGTGCCCCGTCATGAGGGCCGATTGGGGGGGCGACCGCTGCCGCTCGAGGAAAGGGAAAGATTGCGGGCGCTGCGGGCGATCGTCGTTCGGCACCACAAACTGGCTCGAATCAAAGCCGGCCACATTCTGAGTCGTTGGGGGGCCCTCGGAGCTATCAGGACGGCAGACCAATTCGACTCTTGGCAAACTGGCAAGGTGGTGTCCGCCAGGCTCTGCGTCGCAGGCTGCCCAGCCGCGCAGCAGCGCGCGGAAAGCCGCTCGCTGGCCGGGGATCGCGAGGCCGCCGTCAGAAAGAATATAAAGTCGCTGGCGAACGCGCGCATGCACGCTCGCGTGACGGACGACTCGGGGCGGCCCGCGCGTCGACTGCTCCTATCACCAGCAGTTTCATTCAAAGCCTTTCTTGCGGCTTTGGCATCCGACTTGATTCTTCCCGCCCAGGCCCGGTTCGAGGTCGCCCGTCGCCTGGCGACCCTGCCCCTCGCGCGCGGCTGCAGCGAGATCGGGGAGAGAGGGGTCAGATCAACGCGGCGCGCCCCTGCGCCATCGCCTTCGCGCGCGCGGCCTGGGCCTCCAACAGCGGAGGCGCGACCAAGTGCGCCGTTGGTCGGGGTCATCGCCCCGCGCTCGGCGGACCGCCCTGCTCGTCGCCGGCCGCGTTCACCGGCTCGGGCGCGCCCGCGTTGTTGGCCTGCATGCGATCGAAGACCGACTTCGTCAGGACCATCTCGTCGATGCTGGCGGGGGCCCTGCCGAGCTCGCTCTGGACCTGGCGCTTCGCGACCTTTTCGCGCCCGCGGGCATCGCGTGCCAATCGCTCCTCGAACTCCCCCCGCGAGAGGCGCCCGGCGCCGTGGCTGCTCTTTTCCTAACTAAAAACGGCACAGGAAGCGCCGCGCGGCGGAGCCGAGGCGGGGGCGCCGCGGGGGGGCCGCTTCGAGAACGGACCGACGCCCAGCGCCCTGCGGGCGGCGCCGCGCTCGCGCCCACGGCGGGGGCCCGCGTCGGCCACGGGCCCATCCGGCCTGGTCGCGCCCGCTGCGCGCGCCGCTGTGGGCGCGCGCGATGCCGCCGGGAAAGACTGCCCTGTCTGGGCGAGCGACGGAGGGACCGCGCCGACCCATGCGATGCGACTGGGCGGCGCCACCTGGGCCACGGCGCGCGGGAGGGCGCGGGCAGCGCGCAGGGTCTGCTCCTCAGAATTTACACGCGCTGGCCCACGAACCCCCACCATATCGTCGACCTCGGCGTCGGAGCTGGGCGCGAATGGGGCAGCTGGCGGAGTGCGCCACCGCGATCTGCGGCGGCAAGCGACCATTCATCATGCCAGAGACGCCAGCAGGAACTACTTCCACATCCAACGCCGCACTATCACAAGAGTCGCGCTTCGAGTCGGCGCCCATGCCTCGTCGAAGCCGACGGATAGCGATGACCCCCCCCTGCTCCGAGACCCCTGACTCGCGCGGCGTCGAGCCATCCAGCAGCAGGCTGCGCCACCCGAGGACCACCTCCTCCAAGAGGATCTCGGCAGCCCTGGCTACCTGGGCCCGAAGAGCGCCCGCGCCCCTTGTCCAGGGAGCCCACCAACTAGCGCATCTGGACGGGCCAATGCAGGAAGGTTCGAACCTGGAACATCGGCCCCCATTCACGGGCGGCGATTTCAGCCCGCTGCGACGGAGCGGACTTCGCCCGATGGGCCCGCGTTATCTCCAAAGCCTACGCGGGCAACACCTCCGACGGCGGGCCGTCCGACTCGCTGGCCTCGACAGCCTTGCCCCACAAGGGAAAAATCCCAAGTCGAGACGTCTGCCGCCTGCGGCGCGGCTCCGTCGCCGCGGACTCGACGCAACATCTCGCTCTCGACCGCCGCGGCCGCGCCCGGGATCGCCGCGCCCGGCCATCCCTGTCAGAAGGGAACAGCGCAGGCGGGCGGGGACGGGCAGGGCGCGCAGCCCGAGGCTTCCCCGGGCTGACAACGACACGCGGCGAGGGGGGCCCGCGGTGAAGGCTTGTTGAGCAAGGGCGACTGCGGAGAAAGAGCACGTCACCCCCACTCACAAGGCCAATCCCGCCCCCACTTCACTGGCTCCACTTCGCGCGAAAATCGCGGCCCACCACGGAACTCAATGCGAGAAGGTGCCACCGTGGAAGCCTTCGATATACTCCGCCCCCCCCCCCCCCCCCTCTTCGCCCCCCTCCGCCCTTCGCCCCCAGCCCCTCTCGAGAGAGCCACGAGAGGGGCCCGGGAAGAGGGGCTCGAGGAGGCCCGAGGCCCCCCCCCTTCGATATGGCCCTCCAGACCCCCATATGCCTCCAAGAGACCCCCAAAGCAACCCCATGACGACCCTTGACAATCCCCAGAGGCTCCCGCGGAACCCCAAACGACTTTCAAGAAAGCCCCCATACAGGCCCCCTACAGGCCATGCGAAAGACCCGGCATCTGGATGCGATGCGACGTGCGACATGCCGCATGTTTCGGTTCGAGAGTTTGTCCATCCTTTCGCACAGAATAAGTCGAATGCCTCCTTGGGGGTCGGCGACATGGCGCAAACGTCTCAAATGAGAAGAAGGAGCGGTGGAATGGCCGACGGGGCCAAGGAGGAGGAGGAGGAGGTGGGAGAATTCCACCAACCATCAGCAGACACAACGCAGTCATGGGTGGCTGGACATCGTTGGTTGGTACTACGAACTCCTAAGAGACGGCGACTCAAGTACTCTGTTCTGTTTGAGGGCGTGTCTCACAGTGTTCCACATCCTCACTCGAGTGTACCCACCATGTGGCCTCGCACGTTTGTAATGCCATCTGCTTGGGAACGTTTCCCACACATGCTACATTCAGTGCCGACAGCATCCTAATCCAACCTCGACCCCCTGACCTCCTTGCAATCGTTCAGCGCGAGTCGACAGCAAGCACCCCCCCCACCGATTTCCGTACCTCTCCATGCCAATTACCTCGACACTTTTCCGAACCCACGGCGAGCGCCGATGTCCAGAACGCAGTAGTCGAACTCATGGTCAGGATGAGACCTTAGTGCTACTTCTCACCCATGACATCGTGTTTGTTCCATACCGGTCTACTACTAGGCATCCTTGAAAATACCAACTAGCCTAGTGTACGGAAATCCGCACGTAGCTTCAGGCCAACATCACAATTTATGTACGTTCCTCCGTTGACTTACTCCTTAGCACGTGAGTGGTCATAACACTGATTGTTGCCATTTTCTCTTTGGTCAGCCGACCCTGATTTTGTCACCCTTCCCTCACCGCTGCAGATCACACCTGCAGCATGCCCGCCAATTCGAGCCAGTTTACCATTCGCTGAGCGCCCGTCAGATTGTAAACCTCCCTGCCCCTCACCTTCCATACTGGTGCAGTGCCCAGCGTGAGCGTACGCCACAGCGTCACTCCCTCACACATGTTTTGCACGAGCGAGTCGATCGCGAACACCTCCCCACATTTCTAGGACTAGGCGCGAAATTTTTTACCACGAATCGACAGCCTGCAGCTGCTGTACCGAAATTTACACTTCTGCACCCTCAACCTCACTCGAAGCACACTGTGGTGCTGCCCAAAAGGTCGGGCGCACCACGCACCAGCACCCTATCTTCATTTGCCTCGCCTTCAGTCGATACATACATTATTGCCTGGGTTTCAGACCCACCTCGATACTAAGGGCCTGGTTGGCCGTCGGCACAAGTTTAACGAGAACATGTTCAGACTTGCCAGGTACCAGTGCACAGCACACCGCCTTGGCACAACAACAGCTGCCGCCCGCACCGAAGTTTGCACCAATAGAAAGACTACCTCTCTTTCGGATTTCTCTTGTGATCAAGTCTACATTGTTTGAACGCTTTGTTCGCCTCACTCCTCGATCTTTTGCAAGCGTAGTATGTAGGAGACGTCGATGCACACAGGAGAGGGCGATGTGAGAGTCCTCCTCTGTATGTGCCAACCTGGAAAAACTTCCCACGCCAGGCTATTCGCCTGCGTGGCAGTGCGGGGCGCCGCGGCTCTTATTCGGACACCGGGACAGGCCGACAAAGAAACGCGGGCCGGCATAGTATGTAATGCCTTACTTGCTGGGCTGCCTTTACTTCTGCTGTTCTATCTGCCTCAGTTCTAACCCGCTGCGCTCTCCAGGGCTTTTTTGTTACTCCGGCTCAGACCACCTCGCCTATGTGGGGCATTACGCCCTTTTGTCGCACTGACGCTCCAACTTAGTTGCTTGAACCCGCGCATCGAAAACGAGGGAGAAGATGAAGACGCATGAGGAGCAGTAGTAGAAGCAGAGGACGGGCAAAATAGAGGGAGGAGGACGAGGAGGAGGAGGAGGAGGAGCTGAAGGAGGAGCAGCAGCGGGGGGTACATGATGGGGCTCGCAACGCGAGTTGGGTCAATGCCCTGCACCTCCTCGGGTGGACCATCTGCTGCCTGGCCCTTCCGCGAGCGACTGGTGGCGCGGAGGGGCTTCTTTGACGCCGCCTCGTGCGGGGTGCAGGAGGAGCAGGAGGCGGCAGAGGGATGAATAGGGATCAGGCGGAGGAAGGGAAGGAGGAGAAGGAGAAGGCGGAGGAGGGGGAGGAGGAGCAACAACGGGGAGGAGGAAGAGGAGACAGAGGGAGGACGACCGGGGAGGAGGGAGGAGGGAGAGGGGGGGCGCAGAAGTCTGGAGCAACAGCACCAGCAACAGACTGCAAGACTCCTCCCTTTCTCTCCGTAGCACTTTTTTGGTTCTGGTCGTCTCAGTCGTTCGAGCACTTTGCATTCACAGCGGGTTTAGGGCCTGCGCTGCTCAAGGCCACAGGGAACGTTTCTCGGATGTCGACGGTAAGTATCTGGATGATTTGGCCACAACAACCAGTTTGGCTCGCTGGCGGGTGCGCCAGACAAAAGATGTTATCGAGCATAGTGGTGCCAGTACTTCTCTTCTCACATCACCAGAAGTCCCCTGGTGGGGGGAAGCATGTGTATACATCATGCTCAGAAATGATTTGACCAAGCAGCACTCGTCTAGACTTCTAGTTTTCTGGCGGACGAGGAGTGACTATGCGCATTGGGTGGAGAATCCACTTCGTGAGTGCCATGCTGATGATGCCACCTCGCTCATGCTGAGAAGGGCAGTCAGTATTTTGCGTGCACGTGCCATCGTAGCTGTCCTGGGAATGATTCTGGCGAACATTGGGTGGAGAATCCACCTCGTGAGCACGCTGCTGACTGTGCCCCCTTTGCTCATGCTGGGAAGGGCGACCGATTCTCCTTGAGCGACGCCTTCAGCGACCCACCCGCGAACCACCAATGACCCACCCGCGCCCGCCCCCTCACTCTTATCCGCAACTGCGGGGTGCCACATATTCCCATACGTACTCCGAGTTTCTTGATAAGCGTCGGGGGGGCGTCACACCCGCCGACAGCCCCACGTCGACCCCCGTCGCGGGCAGCCACCGCGCGCCGAAGGCGCTCCGAGCCCCGTCGCAGCGCGACGACGAAGCGAGGTTGACCCCCGTCGGGGGGTCCCCCCCTACGCTTCTTAAGAAACCCATACATGCTCAGCACTTCTCTGACCAAGCAGGAGGAGCAGGAGCAGGACGAGGAGCGAAGGACAAGGAGCAGCAGCAGCACGAGGAGCCGGGAGGGGGGGGGAGAGGAGGAGGAGGAGGAGGAGGAGGAGGAGGAGGAGGAGGAGGAGGAGGAGGAGGAGGAGAGGAGAAGAGGAGGAGGAGGAGGAGGAGGAGGAGGAGGAGGAGGGGGACGAGGAGGAGGAGGAGGAGGAGGAGGAGGAGGAGGAGGAGGAGGAGGGGCACGAGGAGGGGGAGGAGGAGGAGCAGGAAGCCAGAGCCTTGCGCACCGCACCCTTCTGCGGCCTCTCCTGGCCCAACGCCGCCGTTCGCTGCGCCGGCGGGAGTGCTTGCGGCGCAGCCTCGGCCGCTCTCTGCCGGACGACCGACGACCGACGACGACGAGCCGACGGCCGACGACGACTACGACTACGACGACGGCCGACGACGAAGGACGACGAAGGACGACGACGACGACGACGACCGACGACGACGACGACGACCGACGACGACGACGACGCCGACGACGACGACGACGAAGGCGACGACGGCGACGACGACGACGACGACGGCGGCGATGAAGGACGACGACGACGACCGACGACCGACGGACGACCGACGGCCGACGAGCGACGACGGCCGAGCCGACGACGACGACGACGACGACGACGACGACGACGACGACGACGACGACGACGACGACGACGACGACGACGACGGCGGCGGCGGCGGCGGCGGCGGCGGCTGCGGCGGCGGTGGCTGCCTCGGTCGTCGCGTCGATGCCGGCACCGTCTGCAGGAGCCGCAGGGTCCGCGCTCTGTCCGACTGTGGTCGCGCCATCGTCGGCACCGAGGGCCGCGGGGTCTTCCTCGCGGTGCTCGGGGAGCGCCTCCGCGGCGGCCAACGCGCCCTCCTCGTCGGCACCGAGGGCCGCGGAGTCCTCCTCGCGGTGCTCGGGGAGCGCCTCCGCGGCGGCCAACGCGCCCTCCTCGTCGGCACCGAGGGCCGCGGGGTCCTCCTCGCGGTGCTCGGGGAGCGCCTCCGCTGCGGCAACAAGGCCCTCCTCGTCGGCACCGAGGGCCGCGGAGTCCTCTGCGCGGTGCTCGGAGGGGGCCTCCGCGGCGGCAACAAGGCCCTCCTCGTCGGCACCGAGGGCCGCGGGGTCCTCTGCGCGGTGCTCGGAGGGGGCCTCCGCGGCGGCAACAAGGCCCTCCTCGTCGGCACCGAGGGCCGCGGGGTCCTCTGCGTGGTGCTTGGAGGGGGCCTCCGCGGCGGCAACAAGGCTCTCCTCGTCGGCACCGAGAGCCGCGGGGTCCTCTGCGTGGTGCTCGGAGGGGGCCTCCGCGGCGGCCAACGCGCCCCCCTCGTCGGCACCGAGGGCCGCGGAGTCCTCTGCGCGGTGCTCGGGGAGCACCTCCGCGGCGGCAACAAGGCCCTCCTCGTCGGCACCGAGGGCCGCGACCTCCTCGTCGGCACCGAGGGCCGCGGAGTCCTCTGCGCGGTGCTCAGAGGGGGCCTCCGCGGCGGCAACAAGGCCCTCCTCCACCGCCGTGGCCGCATCGTCCGCGCCCTCCGGGGCGGCCTCGAGCCCCACAGGCTCGGCCTCCGTCGGCTCAAACACCGGGGCGGCCGCCTGCTCCTCCCCCTCCGCGGGGGCCTCTTGCGACGACTCCGTGCCCCCGTCCGCCGCCGCCGTGGGCGCGGCGTCGCCACACTCAGCTGCTGCTGCTGCTGCTGCTGCAGCACCTGGCGGCGCGTTCGACTCCATCAGCTGATCGACGGGAAGCACGACGTCTGGCGCTGTTGGGGTCGCAGACTGCTCGCCCAGCGCGGCATGGGCGTCACTGTCAGGCGCTCTGGAAGTCGCCTCGTGCGGCTCGGTCGCGGCCTCCTCAACTGCCGCTGTGTCCACGCCAGCGGCCTCAACCGCACCACCCTCTGCAACCTCGCCGCTGACATGGGAAGCGACACCTTGCGCGACCGCGACCTCAGCCACCGCCGGCTCAAACACCGGGGCGGCCTCAGGCGCGTCCTCTGTGGGAGCCTGTGGTGCCGACTCTGTGGCCTCCTCTGGTGCCTTCTCTGTGGGAGCCTGCGATACCGACTGTACGGCCCTCTCTGGCGCCACCACTGGGAGCGCGTCACTGACCTCCAGAGCAGCCGCAGGGCTCTCGGCCCCAGCAGCCGTGGCAGGCTCGATACCTTGGGCCGTCACGTCCCCCTCAGGAGCGGCAGCGGCCACCTCGGCTGCTGGGGCGACCTCGACCACTGCTGCAGGGCTCTCGGCCCCAGCAGCCGTGGCAGGCTCGATACCTTGGGCCGTCACGTCCCCCTCAGGAGCGGCGGCGGCCACTTCGGCTGCTGGGGCGACCTCGACCACTGCTGCAGGGCTGTCGGCCTCAGCGGCCGCGGCAGGCTCGATACCCTCGGCATTCACGTCCCACTTAGGAGCGGCGGCGGCCGCGTCGGCTACTGGGGCGACCTCGACCAGTGCCGCCGGCTCTGCGTTCTGCTCTGGCGCTGACACGGGCTTGGAGGCAGCCAGGACGATCTCCGTATCCGACGGCAGCCCGCCAACTGCACTCGATTCCAACGGCTGCTGCACTGGAACCTGGGGAAACCAAAAAGTACCGATACCGCTACTCCCCGGACCTCTCCCAGGGTCCAGGGTGCGTTCTGACCAGAATTTCGAGGCGGCTCCAGCGGTGGCGACGGGGGCCGAGGTACAATATTGGTAGGTTCCTCCTCCGAGAACCTGCACAACCGGCTCCGGTGTTGGGTCAGCAGGGGCGCGGGCAGCCTCCCGCGGGGTCGCGGCAGCTGCCTTCGAGGCCCTGGCGGACGTGGAGCCCTGGGGCGCGGCGGGGCCTTTCGAGCTCGAGCTCGTCCGCGCCTGGGCCACGACGGGGGAGGCGGAGGCCCTCGAGGCGGTGGCCCTGGATAGGGAGAAGGAAGCGCACCACCACCACCACCACTACCACCACCACCACCATCAGCGGTCCAAAGATGGGGTCCTGAGGGATGGAGTCCTAAGGACGAGGTGCCTCAAACAACGCAAATCCACCCTTGGATCCCATCCTATCCTTAGGCGCCCATCTCTCAGGACCCCGTCTTTGAGCCACCGACACCACCTGGAGGATGGAGGCAGAGGGTGGTCAGGGGTGGTGGTGGTGTATTTCGTTTCGGGCGCTCTAGCGGGGCATCGTGCACACCCGCATCCTGCACACCAGCTTATCCTGAATCTCCCCAGGTGGTGGTGGTGGTGCGCTTCCTGATCCCAGCCTGGAAGGAGAGGCGGGCTGGAGGCGGGCTGGGACGGACTTGCGCCCCTCAGCCGGCGACCTGCTAGACGCCTGCGGCGCCCCTGCCGGCTTCGCCTTCGGGGGCGAGCGCGACGACGGGTTGCTGGCGCCGGGCTTGACAGCGGAGTCGCCCAGCCTGCTGCCCTGGCGCTGCCTCGGCGTCGCCTGCGGAGGCCCAGCCGCCGCGGCCCCTGGCTTCTTCCCTGCCCGCGCAGAGTTCTGGCTCGCCGACGACGATCTGGCCGCCGAGGCCCTCGACTGACTTCCTGCGGGCGTGGAGCTCTGCTGGCCCGCCGCCGCAGCCGCCGGCTGGGAGCCTTGGAGGCCCCCCGCGACCCCCGGTGTGTCGATACAGCGCTGCTGACCACCTGGGGCACCTCACTTCGCGCGTCGCGCCCCGCGATGCGCTACGCGCGGTTCTCTTCGCGCTCCCACGCTGCCCCCTTCGGGAAGGGCAGCCGCTCTGGCCCAGACCGCGGCGCGCACAGCGCGGTTGTCTTCGCGCCCCCACAGGGGACCTAAACTACTGAGCAGGTCGACGGCGAGTTTGATGGCAAGGAGGCGCAGAACATGCGCCTGCGCGTGCCAGTTGCACAGCAGTGGCGGTGTCTACGCCAGCTCTTGCTGCAAAGATACCTGCCTGCATCAGTATTCGTCTGATCCTCTTATCGACCTACTACGCATTGAATAAGCTAAGATGGTTTGACGTTTCAGGGGAGCACCCACTGTTGTCGCAAGCTCCAGCTGCACGGCTGCACTTAGGGTGAGGGCTCGGGGCCAGATGCCAAGATGGCCCCGAGAGGCCCACGAGGGGGCCCAAAAGAGCCCGAGAGGACCACAAGAAAGCCCCGAGAGCGGCCCAGGCGCGCGTGTTCGGCATTGCGCGTGTCGATGCCATATCCCCTGGTTCGGAGATTTACGCGCTGGTTTCCCGCCTGGGGGGCCCGCCGTGACTCCCACTGTGCAGGCTCAGTGCGGCGGGCCCACTGCGGGCCCTGGCCGCGTTGGGCCCCGAAGTATTTGGCAAAGTATACAAAATTTGAAGGCTTGAGACAAGATAGGCGGACTGGAAGGCGGCATGAGAAGCCTTTCAACACCGAGCGCGAATCACGGCCTTCCTGTAGCCTTAAGATTCTGGAATAATGGGGTCGAGATAGTGTACCGCCCTCATTACTGGCATGCCTGCGCTCTGCAGAAGGGGTCGTGTTGTAAGCAGCACAACCCACCACCACCACAAACCACTAAACCACCGCCACCACCGCCACCGCCACCACCACCACCACCACCAGCTCCACCTCCACAAACCACCGCCACAACCACAACCCACCACCACCACCGCCACCACCACCACCAGCACCACCTCCACAAACCACCGCCACAACCACAACCCACCACCACCACCACCACCACCACCACCACCACCACCACCACCCACCACCACCACAAACCACCACCACACCACCACCAAACCACCACCACCACCACAAACCACCACAAACCACCACCACAAACCACCACCACACCACCACCAAACCACCAAAACCACCACCAACCGCCACAACCACCCACCACCACCACCACCACAACAAACCACCACACCACCACCACCACCACCACAACAACCACCACCGCTACCACCACCACCACCACAACCCACCATCACCACCACCACCGTCGTCCTCGTCGAAGCTCCCCGCCACCGCCGCCCGCCGCCGCAGGCGCCGGCCGGCGCCGGCCCAGAAATGGAAATCGTCGTCCCCGCCGCCGTCGCCAGCCGCCGCCGACGCAAGCGCCGGCCCGAGGAGAGGGAAGCAGGGGGGGGTTGAAACCTCCCCCCCCGTCACGGGAGGGGGGGGGTCCGGTTCCAAACCCCTCCCCTCCAAGCGATCACAAAACGCGCTCCTTCGGTTGTACATGTAGCCCCGGTACGAGACATGTTAGGACCCTTCCCCAGCTCCGCTGCCCAGGAAGGGTCATTGACATATTGCTTAAATGTACCCTTCCCCACGCCGCGTCGGCCGAAGGTGGGTTCACCAAACATTCGACTGGTTGGATAGTGAACTGGTGTCCCGAAAGCTGGCGGCGGCCCCCATGGGGTGGGTTCAAGAAAAATCGCGGACGGGTGAAAAACAAACGGTTTTCCGAAATTGGTGGCGGCCCCTAAGGTGGGCCACTCCGTAAATCAGCACAGATTCCCCGATGCTTCTTCACCAAAACTACGACGAAAAGGCACGCAAAGCCTGGCGACACGTGAGCCTCAGAAAAGCAGCGGGTGACACGTGTCGCCCCCGAAACCTTGTGATCCAAACGAACCATGATTTGGGGATTCTGGGAGCCAACATGGGGTCCCTGAGCCTGGGGGGGGGAAAAACAAGCGACACGTGTCACCCCCGAAACTGTGTGAAAAAACAAATGTGAATTCTGGACTCTAGGAGCCAACATGGGGTGATTGGGCCTGGAAGAGTAGCAGCGGGTGACACTCGTCACCCCCGAAACCGAGTCCCACCAGCCATCTGGGCGGAGGTGGTTTAGAGAGCCCGTTCAGGTCAACCCCACTCTTCCCCTTCGGGGAGGGGTTTATAATATACACCCACTCCCCCAGGCGACCAGGGGCCGACCAGGCACCATGCCGACACCATGCCCATCCGCCCCCCACTATCCCTTTCAAAAAACAATACAAATCGCACTCTGCCTCCACATTTGGAACATGCGCGGCCAACCCGATGCGCCCCCCCCACCACCCCTGTC